TCTGTGCTCTTATATCTATTTCTTTTATAGGAATAGAGTAGGAACCTTTTATCTTTTCTTTGGACATCATCTTCATGCTTAACCTCTTGCATGCCTTTTAAATGCACTAACTTTGCAAGTGAAAAAAAATGGGATAGTTTGATAATTGAAGGGAGGAGTGTTAGTGTCCGGAGAATATTTCCTTTCCTGCCAGGGCTTTGGCAGGAGATTTTAGTTGCAATAACAGTCCTGGTAAATGAGGATTGCAAGAGAGTTGGAACAGTAGGGGACCCAACCTGCTGCTGCTCCTGCCTGCCTGCTGCTCACTGCTGTCATACAAGGAGGAATGTGAAAGTTGCCAAAGACCAGCGCTGGGAGAGCCTCTCCTGCCTGATATCTTCATTTTATTCCCTGTTGCTGTGATAAAATACTCTGACAGAAGCAGCTTTATGGGAGAAATGGTTTATTTGCTTACAGTTCCAAGTTAGAGTCTACCATTGCGGAGAAGTCAAGAAAGAAACTTGAAGCAGCTGGTTTCATCCAGTCAATAGCAGAGAGAGAGTGAATGCATGCACGTGTGTGCTCAACTCACTTTCTCCTTTTCATACAGTTCAGAACCCAAACCCAGACAATGGTGCTGCCCACTTTTAGGCTGGGTGCTACAACATTAGTCAATGTAATCAAGCACTTCCTCAACAGACATTGCTACAAGTCAACCTGATCTAGACAATATCTCACTGAGTCTCTCTTCCCAGATGATTCCAGATTATATCAAGTTGACAATTAAAACTAGCCTTCTTCATACCTACCCTACACATTTTCCATCTGGGTAAAGCAAAAGGATCCCAGACAGGTGGTTGGTAATATAGCAAGGGCATTTGCTTCCAGATTTCTTTAAATTTAAAAAAATTTTACATATGAGTGTTTTGCCTGCATATATGCAAGTGCACCCATGCATGGAATCCCCACAGCTAGAAGATGACTTTGGATCCCCTGGAACTGGAGCTATATACAGTTGCTAGCTGCCATGTGGATTTTGGGAACCATGTGGATTCCAGGGTCCTCTGTAAAAGCAACCAGTTTTCTTAACCGCTGAGCAATCTCTTAACCCGTGTTTCTACATTTCTTGAGCAAATAATTTTATGCTTGCAAAAGAATGTAAAAAATTCAAAGACTAGATTGGGAAGTGACTAAAACAAGATTCCACAACTGAAAGTGAAAAGTCATTTCTTAGTCTCTGAGAACAGCATTAATAAAGATAACTATATCTGAGCTATTTTCTGACTTTGAATTTATAGCTGACTACTCTAGTTGTGAGTCTTTCAGAACTCAGCTTTCAGTTCCTCAGTTAACACCACAGTTGATCTCCAGACATTTATAGGCAAGGAAATCTTTTCTTTTTTAATATTTTATTATTTTTATTTTATGTGTATGACTGTATTGCCTGCATGTGTGTAAGTGCACCCATGTTATGCAATGCCGCAGAGGACAGAATAGGGCTTTGGATTCCCCTGAAACTAGAGTTGTTTGAAGCTGCTGTGTGGGTGCTGGGAATCAAACCCAGGTCCTCTGGAGGAGCAGTCAGTGCTCTTAACCGCTGAGCCATCTCTCCAGCCCCGGAAGTCTTTTCTTCTGAACAACTTACCTCCCTCTGCCCCAGCAGGACTGTAGCCATAAAGCCACCAGCTTTATTGCTTTACCCAGAATGGTGGACTAGCCTGGTCTCATTGGTGTAGCAATATGTAATAAAAAGTCTTTCCCTATAGGAAAGACATTTAGGAGACTATGGAATTTTTTAGATGCCGTTTTCTCTGGTTTTCTCCTTATCATCACTGACATATCTACAGCATTTCAGAAAATTCACAATTGAATGGTTAGCTATGAAGAATGTTTAATGTCTCTATTAAATACTGATAACATTAATGAATACATTTGAGAATCTAATTTTCTATGGTCTTTTTCTGTTAGCTTTCAAAAGTCTAGTACTTTAGTTCTCTGAATTAATAAGCAATAAAAGTAAGGCTCAGTAGTTAAGAGCACTACTTCTCTTACAGAGGACATGGGTTCAATTCCTTGCACACACATGGCAGTTAACAACAGTCAGTAACTCCAGTTCTAGGGAATCCAATGCCCTCTTTTGGCCTCCATGGGCATTACATGACATGGGTACACTTAACATACATGCAGGCAATACACTCATACACATAAAATAAAAATAATAAACCATTGTTTACATTTCTGTATTTTCAGTTTTCATGAAAAGTCATTTTCAGTACTTTAAAAAATATTTGATTTGCCGGGCTTGGTGGTGCATGCCTTTAATACCAGCACTTGGGAGGTAGAGGCAGGTGGATCTTTGTGAGTTTGAGGCCAGCCTGGTCTACATAGTGAATTCCAGGACAACTGGGGCTACAGGGAGACCCTGTCTCAAAAAGACTATATATACATATATATATATGATTCTTGAGAACTTCATACTATGTATTTTAATCATATTCAGACCCCCTTCCCCATTTCTACCCCCTTTTTACTACCCCTCAACTTCATGACTTCTATTATTATTTTTCTTTTTCTTTCTTTCTTTTTTTTTGTTTCCCAATGCTCTTGGGTATAAGTCCATCCTTTGGAGTTTGTTCAACTTAATAGTTGTTACACCCTTTAAGATAACTGTCTCTCCCTCTCCCAGCAGCTATCAATTGTCAATAGTTCCTCAGCTACGCTGAGAAGTGTCTAACTCCATCCACCCCACTGACCTTCACATTGCAAGGAACTAGCCTGGTTTTCACTGCCATGTCTCCAGTTTTTTGTTTTGTTTTGATTTTGTTTTTGTTTTTTAATTTTTATAAAAACTTTATTGAGAATTTCATACATGCATATATGGTGTTTTGATCAAATCCATGCCCACTCCCTCCCCTCCAACATTCCCCCCTCTGAAGAGGTAACCCTAAAATCTTTTAAGGATTAGATACAAGCTCCCAAATACTTTTGACATTTTTGGCCTTGGAACAGAGTACGTTGCTAACAGGCCCAAGGACATTTTGAGTTTTAGCCAAGAAACTGGCTATGTTTCTTTGGGGTCTTTTTACCCTAACTGCCTAGCCAATTCCTACCTCCTATTCTTATCACACCATCCCCTGAAGGGGTTACCTAAATTGCCAATAGGGAATAGGAACGCTGACCTCTCTGGCTTCTTCCATGCTGAACAGGGACGCAGGGTGAGGCAATTGGAGTACTCCTTCAGTGGGTCTATCTAAAAGACTCCCAAATTGCATAACTCTTTTCTCTAAGGGGAGAAGAAAGTCCGTCTCCAGTTTTGTTTTTTTTTTTAACAGAGTTTGGTCCATAGTCAATCCTTGATACATATTTGTTACTTGAATGACTAAGAGAACAACACAAAATCTTTATTGGCTCTTTACTTCTATGGAATAAAGTCCAAAAGACTAACCTGATATTTAAGGTACATAATTTGGCTTTGATCTGTCTTTCCAGACTTATCTTCGACCTTCAGAGTCATAGGATTAACTCCTGTTTTCTCACACATCCTGAATTAGTTATGTAACTTTAACAAAATACCAAAGATTGGATAATTTATAGGGATCAGTACTTCTCACATTGTACAAGTTGAGAAGTTCAAGATCAAGGTACCCTAATGTTCAGGTGTCTGGTGAGGGCTACATGCTCCTGAGGGTGGCGGGGAAACCATGGAGGACAGGGACACTATCCTCAAAAGACTGAGGGGGAGGTCAGGGGAAGGCTGAGTGAGGACTCTTTTCTAAAAGCCTAATCTCATTCATCAGGGAGAAGCCCTCACAGCAGAAGCACCTTTAAAGGTCCTATCTCTCAACTCCACCACGTGGCCACCCCTGAATTTTAGAGAGGACCACTTGGCACAGCACAGCCCTGGCTGGGTTTTACTGATGCACGGCTTTGCCTCCTCCATCTCTGTACTCTCTCAGTCTTCCAGCCCTCTCCCATGGCACTGCCTCAGATCCTTGCAGGTACAGAGGTCTTTTCTAAGACATACCTCCTGTTCCCTTCTCTTTTATGCCACATTATCACTTTTACAGTTACAATAATTATTTGATGTTGTCCCATTAAATCATAAGCTCCTTGAAAAGAGAACACCCTCCCAAGAAGCAATTCTAGTGTCACTCTAGTAGGTACCTAATATATTTTCATTCGAGTGGAAAAATAAATAGAAGTGTGCCCATTTAAATGCCCGTTTAAAAAATATTTTGTTATTTTTATATTATGTGTATGAGTGTATTGGCTGAATGCAGGTAAGTGCACCCATGTCATGCAATGCCGGCGGAGGACAGAAGAGGCCACCGGATCCCCTGGAACTGGAGTTACGGACAGTTGTTAGCTGCCATATGGGTGCTGGGATTCAAATCTGGGTCTTCCGCAAGAACAACCAGTGTTCTTAACCACTGAGCCATCTCTCCAGCCCCTTTAAATGCCCATTTTAAAAATAATGTAGAGCCAGGAATTGGTGCAAACATTCATGGAAGCAAAGGCTTGAGTGCATTGCAAGGGAGCACAGAAAAGAGGAAAGGAGACTTGTTGGAAGTGTAAGGAGCAAGCACAGATGCCTTTTTTCTGGGCAGTGAAAGCAAAGTTCTTAATGGAGGATGATCTGGATCAATAGCGCCAGACAGCTGATTTATATAATAGCCTCAAGCTGAAGTAGTGTTCTTTCTCTGCATAGTGCTGTGTGAAAGGGGAAAGGCTGCTAACCAGAGGATTCCACAAGTAGATCTGTGGCGGTCAGTCGGTGTTCAATATGTTTCCCCAACAGCGAGGCATAGGAGAGCTCCCAGAGAGCAGGCTGCTCAGGGCTGGATGCTGAACACTGCTGGTGGGGCTAGCTGCTGCTGGATTTTGGTTGCAGCTGCTGGGCTGCCACTGAGCAGGCACAGGAGTCAAGGGTTGAGCAGGCGGGGACTGTCCCAATCCTGGGCTACGAATGAGAAGTTAACAAGACTGAGGACCTGGAGGCTTGCACACCCAGAGGAGACTTCGCAGCAGCAACAGCAGCAGCAAGAAAGTGCCAGCTTGATCCAAAACAGGCCAAGTGGAACCGGAGGAGATGTCATCATTGGTAAAGGAGGACTTGGAGAAGAAATTGTTTAAGCCTCTCTCGCAGAATCTTTATGAGTTTATTGAGATTGAGTTCTCGGTCCAAGACAGGTATTACCTCTGTGTGTCAGGTGAGCTGTGCTTTCTGATACCATTTCAAAAGGCAAAGCATCTAAAGATGTGGGTGCGGGGGAAGGGGGGTGGGTAGGAGAATTTTTGTGTCTGTTTTCCCACACAGCACAAGCATGCATGGATCTCTTAGGAGTTTAATTAGTCAAGTTTAAGAATTTAGAGTACAAATTTTAAGTGCTAAAGTGAAAAAAAAGTATTAGATAATATTAATAGTTCAGAAATGAAACTAGGTGCATACTTCTCATGATTGATATATTTTGCCTCCAATCTTTAATTTGCTCTCACTGCACACAATTTTATTGAGTAAGAGCTCACTTCTAAAACTCCAACAGTGTTCTGGATATTTTTAAATACTGCAGAACTAAGTTATACAGCCGTTCTGAATGACTGGGATTCTCCCTTTTGTCCTAGAACAGAAACAAACCTTAGATTTTTCATCTGGTTACTTATTTAGACTTAGTAGTTTATTACTAAGTAGAGTTTATTACTCTACTTAGACTTAGTAGTTTATTTTGAAGATAGAAATTATCTTTTTAAAAAAAAAACTTTTTCTCATAGGAAAAACAACACCAATACTTTAATAATAGAAATTAGTTCACAAAGACTGAACTAAGAATAAGGGAATACTCTCTAAAGTATTTAGAGACCTGAAGTAAAATAAGTATTTTCTCTTATATTTTTTAAATATATGAAAATTACTCATGTATCAATTTTTGCATTATGGTTTTCCAAACCTGTAATATTTTATTTGGATAGAAATGTTTGTGCCATTATTGAATTTAATATGCAGCAATCCCTTTGCCTGATCCATGCCTCTTAACGCCCTTCAGGGGCTTTGGAGGAAAGTGCTGAGAAACTGAGTGCTTGTCCTTGAGCTGCCTCTTTAAGGCATACACCTATTAACTGATTCTGCTTTTCTTCCTGATAAATTGGCTTAGAAAGTCTTTCTAAAAGTATCCAGAGGGAGCATAGGAAAGTCAAGCATCTTTAAAGAAAGTGCGAAGAAGTCTCTAAAAGTTTTTCATTTCTAATAAATGCAGAACTATTTAACCAACAATAAGAATAGTAATACTTACCTAACACCTTAGCATATTTTGTTCTATTTTGCTATACATATGACAAATGGGGACTTAGCATATCAACAAATGTAAGAGGCTTGATCAGCTCATGAAAAGAAATTAAATTATATAAAAAGGTAAATTTAAAGTACTTAGAAAACTATATTGTATCCTCAGAACCAGATCACTGAATCAAAAGATTTTTACTTACTATGTTAAAGATGTTCATTCTAATATAAAACATAATAATTTTGTACTGTTGTGATTCCCGCTTTATAAAGATAATTTCTCATTATGCAAGATTGACAGTGTTTTAGAAGAAAAATTATAAAAATAAACAATAATTTATGTATCTAATTTATTAAATATATTTTAGCGCCTCCCCCCCAAATTATATATTTAGCTCAACTTGTTTTATCTAGTTTTTGTTTTAAAGTCTAAAATTAAACATTTGGAAATTATTTGGTGATTCTGACATATTCAAGGGGAAACAAGATCTTCTCAGAGGTGAGGGGGAAAAAAAGATGATTTCATGATATTCCAAATAAAAGTCAACAATAAACCTTCAGTTCCTAAACTTTCACAACTCTCCTTTACATCCATCAATCTAACAGCATTTTTCCCAAGTGTAACACCTTTTTATGACCATTGCAAAGACATTTCGACCGAACAGTGGTTTAAATGGTACTTGTCAGTCCTAAGACTTTGACGATGCTTTCTTTACTTGGGAACATCCACTAATGTGAAACAAAGAAGTCATTTCATACTTGTTGAGGCAGGTGGCTCTATACTTTAAGCACTGTCCACGTTCAGGGAATAGAGTCACAGTCACGTGATTTCTTCTTCATGCTCTGTAATCATGCATTTTTTTCAAATTAAACAGAACATATTTAAATACGGTTAAACTTTCTACTTAGTGGGGCCTGTCTTTTACAAGGTCTCAAAATAAGAGGATTGTCATTTTCTATTAAATCTTGATGGTTAGATGACTAATATCAAAACAAGACATCATAATTCAGTGTCCTTCTTAGTAGTTAGCTAGAAAGTACACAGGGCATTTCCTGGGACCTATGTCCTCTCAGGGTCTGCATGATGACTTCTCCCTGGGATTAGCTTCCCCAGCCGTTCACCACCACTGTTCCTACCAGTTAAAAGCAGTGTCTTCTGATGGAGGCAGGAGCTCTGTGGTCTACAGGAATGAGGAACAAGTAATGTATAGTGAGGGGAGTTGGAAACCCTGTGTTGTAGCGTCAGCTGAAACTGAATGGGAAGTAGCAAGACATGGCGGAACAGACCGTGAATGCTTGCAAGCAGATCTGTGAAATCTGGCTCCTCCTTTGTCTGCTTCACTGCTGTGAAATTGGGGATAAGATAATTATCCTCTCTGGCTTCAGTACTGTCATCTCTGAGACAGAAATAAAAACACCTGTAAAGTGCTCCCCTACTGAATCTTCATTAAGAAAAAACAAAATGTTAGTTTATATTCTAAATAAGTAAAAGGAGAGCCTAAAAAAAGTAGGCTTAATTTTTTTAAATGTGGACTAGAGTGATGGCTCAGTGGTTAAGAGCACTGGTTGCTCTTGCAGAGGACCTGGGTTCAGTTCCCAGCACTCACATGGTGGCTAACAACCATCTGTACCTCTAGTTCCAGGAGATCCAACACCCTCTTCTGACCTCCATGGGCATTGTACAACATGGGCACACTTACATACATGTAGGCAACACACTCATACACATAAAATAAAAATAATAAAATATTTTAAGTGTTTTAATATATAGGATATATATTAAATATATTATATATTTTAATATATATTTTAAATGTAAAGATATATGATGAACTATACATATTCATATACTGTACATATATTTATAATAAAATTAAAAT